AAAAAATACCAACTACATAAATAGAGGTGGCATAGCTTGGGAGCAGCATGTGTGAAAAAGATTTAAGTGTTTTATTTATCTGTGAGCTCATTGAGCCAGCACTGTAAAGCAGCTGCCAAAAGCTAATGACACATACATGAAAGTCTACAATCTGTGTTGAATTTGGTGATTACTTGGTGAGTCCCAACATCCCTGGAATATTAATATATTTTATCCTGAGCACCACAATTCAAAACGGTTTCTGACACAGTGGACGATAGTAAAATCAGACATGGGTAATCAGTATCGTAAAGGACTTGTAATCGTAAGGAATGAATGAAAAGAATTAGGGGGTATTTAGCCGTGAAAAGGGATTTGGAGGCCTGTCACCTATTTGCAGAATATGGAGGAAGGAGTGGCTCAAATAGCTGGTGGGTACAAGCCCCAGGTGGACAACATTGGCCCAGAGTAGGAAGAACTCTGGACCAACCCAGAGAGGGAGGGTTTGTGTCCCTGGAAGATCAGCTGATTGGCCCCTCGGCAGAGCTATCACGTGGGGAGTTACGTATCAGATATGAGATTGGACAAGATAATGTCTAAAGCTCCTAATTTTGAATTAATTTTGTGATATTTTGCTGATTTTGTTGATAAGTTTTCTTTATTCTGTTTCCTTGGCTATTACAGATTCTAGAGGCACTTTTGCAGGTTTTGCATGTCCTTCTGGACATGTGCCAGGCCTTGGAGAGTCAAGAAAAAGGTATGATTATAGATCCAAGGCTTTTTTAAAAAATGGTTTTGTGATTATTGTTTCCTTTGCATTTTCCCAGTCTTTTTTTTCTGTTCTTTACTACCCTGTGTATGTGATGGACGAAAACCTTTCTATAGTAGATTGCTTTTATTGTGTGTTAGCTAAGCGGCACATGGGTTCATGAGCACAGCTTTGCTACCTGAATGCTGAATGACCTTGGACAAGTCACCTCATTCTTCTGGGCCTAATAAGTTTCTTCATTTATATAACATGTTTAACTTCCAAAGGTCATTTTTCCTCTAGTGTAAGGCCACCAGTGTGATCCCAGGAGGAATAAATATACCATTTAACTATAATAAAGTTGCCTGATAACATGCTGTATAATTGATTTGGGTGTGCCATGAATAGATTAAGACTTCTCAAAGAGGGAAGGTATGTGTGAAGAATCGTCTGAAGTTGTTAATGCCAGATTGAACATATCATTGGGCAGCTCTTAGGCTTGACCCTGTTGCTGTGGCTTATTTCTGACCCCTCGGATTTGTTGGTGGGTTGTGAGATGTGAGCTAGTGTTGTAGGTTGATACAGTATGGTTCTCTTGTAGGTATCGTTCTGATATCGGAACATTCTCACTTTGTCTTCTAGAATACCTTTGCAAATACGCAATCCCATGCCTGATTGGAATCTCGCGAGCATTTGGCCGTTACAGCAACACAGAAGAGTCTCTCCTCTCGAAACTCTTTCCCAAAGTCCCTCCTCATTCCCTCCGAGTCCCAGAGGAGCTGGAAGGCGTGCGGAGGCGCTCCTTCAATGACTTCCGCTCCATCCTCCCCAGCAATTTGCTGACTGTGTGTCAGGAGGGCACCCTGAAGAGGAAGACCAGCAGTGTGTCCAGCATCTCTCAGGTGGGGCTACACTCCTGGGAGGAGAGCAGAGGAAAGGGGTCTTGTTAAGTGCTCACACGAAGAAAACCCCATTTGTGTGTAGTCTGAGGAAACTTAGAAAACCTAAAATATTCTCACTAGAATTCTCTTTAATACAAAGGTCTGGCCAGTTTTAAGATTTCTAAGTGATGTCGTCTCCTAGTCACAAAGTATTTGTTTCCTAGCAGTTGGGTGCCAAACTCTACTCTGAGCGGGAGACAATTGGTACCCTAAAGAAGTATATAGTTGACTCATGGAGAAAAGATAGACATGAAACACTGAGAATAATTCAGTTTAGTAATCAAGTATAAAATGTGTGTCTAGATAGGAACTGAGTTTAGCGATTTGGTATATAGTAGAGAATGCTGTAGCTGCAGGCAGCTTTAGGGAGGAGGTGAGGTTTGAACCAGGACGTGAAGTCTAACCATTGAACTGGCAGGGAGAACCTTGTCTAAGACGAATCTGAGGTTCGACTGGCCTTTTCTGATGTGTGGTTGTGTGTTTCAGGTCAGCCCCGAACGTGGGATTCCCCCTCCCAGTTCCCCTGGAGGATCCGCCTTTCACTGCTTTGAAGGTGGGCTTCACCTTTCTGCCAAGAAGTTGACCTAGCACTTGATAACAGGTTTATAAGGATTATAGTGATGATTTCTTGTGCTGTCAGAGATGGTAATACCAATGCTCTGCTGTCATGTATCTAGAGTGTCATTTTCATTTAAACGTCTTAAAATTTAATGATAAAATATTTCAAACATAGAGAAAAGTACAGAAAATAATATACAGACTCCCCCCCTGTGCCTGTGATTAGAATTTTAGTATGTTAACCTGTGAAAGCTCTGGTTTTTAGCGCTTTCAGGTAGAAGTACTAATGGTGGGTCCTTCTCTTGTGTCTTCTTTTAGGGTCATTAAGTATGCAGATAACACTAAAGAGCTTTTTATGTTTTCAATAGAGCCTTGCTGTTCACAAAACACTTTCACAGAATTTACTGAATTTGATTCATATGATAGCCCTGTGCAGGGTCAGACACGTATTAAAATTGCCTTCAATTTGTCCTCGAGGGAAGTAAGATTGATTAAGTGATTGGAGATGGGGAACCAGAATTCCATGCCTCATCATGCCATCTGTTCCATTGTCGGATGATGCCAATTGCTAAAAGAGCATTTCTCAAGAGGATCTTGAAAGACGTTAGGGGAATTAGAAAAAAAAAGAGGGTAGTATCTGAACTCAAATGTGGGCAACTTTGCATGTATTTAGTATCTCTTGGATATGTAAGAATATAACATGTTGTCATCTGTATATGTTAGAATGTAAAGGCTAAGTTCACCCACTCAAATCCCACCTCCCAGAGAGAACCACTTTCCCTGTATTCCTCCACACTTTAAACATCCTTTTTGCCACCTGTATGCCCTCGGGGCATCTGAAGACGGCTGTGATGTGTCCTTAAAGGCTTCTATTTTCTTCCCATTGGGGCTACCCTCCTTTAAGCACTTCCAATGAGTACCCAAGATTGAGGCACGCCCAGGTGTGGGCTCACTGTTTGAGTTTTGTTCAGCAGATACAGCCTGAGCACCGCTCTCCTGTGGAGGTGAGCTGGATGGACGATTTTCTCACTGTCTAAAGTGCACCTTATTGTCCAAGAGACAGGCAGGAAACCACTACTCCTTCCCTTTTTTGCTCCCATGCCTCCTGTTTTCACTCAGACTTTTCTTGCAGTTAGTCTCCCCTTCTCTCTTTCCAATTCATCTTCCACAGCGCTATAAGAATTATTTTTAAGAATTCTTTTTTAAAAGCATAAATATGATCATTTAATTTCCTGCTAAAAATCTTTCAGTGACACCCCCGCATAAATCGCAAATCTTACATCCTTAGTCCCTGCAGTTCCCATCTCTGACCTCCATCTAAGCCCACCACACACTGGTTCAGCCACACAGGACTTCATATTATGGTGTCCATTTGGGAGATGCCCTCTCACCACAAACTTCTTACTTTTTATTATTATTATTATTTTAAAAATATATTTGCATATACTTAAGATAATGAAAAAAAATACATATATATATATATATATATATATATATATATATATATAGTGAAGTGGTTATTACAGTCAAGCTCTATTAACATATCCATCTCCTCACATGGTTACCATTTTTTTCTATTTTTGGGGGGCGGGGTGGGTGAAAGCACCTGAAATCTACTCTCTCAGCAAATTTCCAGTATTCAATACCATATTATTAGCTATGATCATCAGGTTGTGTGTTAGCTCTCCTAGACTTATCCAACCCACATAATTGCAGCTTCGTACCCTTTGACCAGCATTTCCCCACTTCCCCCACCACCCTGCCTGTGCTGACCACCGCGCAGCTCTCTGCTCCTGTGTATCTGACTTTTTTAGATTCTACATATAAGTGAGATCATGTAGTTTTTTTCTTTCTGTGTCTGGTTTATTTTCACTTAGCATAATGTCCTCCAGGTTCATCCATTTGTCGCAAATGGTAGAAACCCCTTCTTTTTTAAGGCTGAATAATACTCCATTTTATTCATAATACATGTACACACAGTGTACATATTCGCATACATTTTATACACACACATAACTTCTTACCTTCTTCCCCACCTGTTCCCTTTAAATCAGCTTTTTTCTCTCCCTCCCTTCTTTCCTCCTTCATTCCTTCTTTCAATGGTCATTTATTATGTTGGCCTCCAGCATCTCAACTCCTCTCAGTATTATTGCCCATCCCCTCTGTTGTAAGTTGCTGGTTTGCTCTCTTGGGACCCACCTACCTTTAGTCAGGTCGGCATCGTGGAACTACACGTCAGCTTTGACACAATTGGGATAAACTCAACTCTGCTTTTTCTGTGCTCTAGTGCTTGAGAAAGTCGTAAAATTTATTCTTTGGTTCTTTATAGATTGATGTTGTTACTAAGTGCTGGGTGATTGGGTTTTTATTTTTGTTCTGATGTTGAAATTCATGGTAATGTGCGTTTTTATTCTAATTTTGGTGGTAAAATATCTGTGGGGCCCTGTAGATCTCAAACTTTCACATCTCTCAACCTTTAAAAAGGTGTAATTTTTTTTTTCCTTCCCACCTGTTAAGTTGCATTGTCTGGGTTGAAAATATAGGACATGATTATATCTGAGTCTGGCGTCACTACCCAAAGACTTGCAATCTAGCCTTGGCTTCTTAATTGAAAAACAAGGAATTGGAGTATAAACAAAAGCAGAGTCTATGCCTGTGTTGGTTATTGAGGGAATCAGCTTGAGGAAGTATCCTGGTCACGTGTCACTGTGACTGACTCTAGTTTTCTTCTCCATCAGTCTCTTACTTACCTGATGGGAGTGCCCTGGACCCCGATTACTACTTCTCCACCATCAGCTCCAGCTTTTCAGTTTCTCCTCTGTTCAATGGCGTCACCTATAAGGAGTTCAGTATTCCACTTGAAATGCTTCGGGAACTCCTAAACTTGGTAAGCAGAGCATTAATGGATAAACAGACCATGGGTGTATCAATAAGTAAAATTGCTGGTGGTGTAAGCCTGTATTTTTTTTCAAGGAAAAACTAGGAGTTTATCAGGATTGAAGAGTACTACTTAGTAAACATAATTTTCAGATTAAAGAAGGAAGGAGAGTAACATTCATAGAGCAGTTGTGTGATATGTTCTCATTTAATCCTTGCAACAACCATATGGGGGAGGCAGCTATGCATCCCCATTTTAGAGGTGAGAAAATTAGTGTCAAATATATCAGCGATCCGTAGGTCAAGGGGAGGGCCAAGGAGCAGCCCAAGGAATCTGATCCCAAGTCCAGTTTCTATTGCACCTCAGGGGCTGCTCTATTCGGATTAATACAAAGCCTAACTTATGCATACTTGGGTACCTTTGGATGGCCTTTGAGATGCTTTCACAGAGGGCATTGTTGTCATTGTCAGAGTCCTGAAATGGACGGTTCTTTGACCCAGGGACGCTGAAGTTGTTATAATTGAGCTGGGATGCTTCAGCACATTCGAGTGGTGAAGACATCATCAGGGGCCAATTAAAGATGGGACTTTCAGAAAGAATGAGAGGGACCGAGAGCGTGAAGCACATGCTGGAGAGAGTAGCCGTCTCCCCCTGTGTGAAGTGTGAACAGAAATCACTCAAAGACAAAGGCTTTAGGCTGAATATATAAGAAGACATTAAAGCATAGGTGATAATTAATGAGGATAGAGCCATAATGAATTACTAAATAGCCTGGGATATTTTTGAAGTTGCTGTCAGGAAGGAAAACTCCCCGTAAATTGCTCCTCACTGTCAGTGTCCCAGATAAATGGTGGCCTGGGTGCCCCCACGGCCTTCTCAGATACTCTTCTTAGTATCTTTGGAAGAGCCAGTGCATCAGGCCTGGGGAGGAGGGAGGAGCCATCAGTGCCCAACGGCTGGCAGTGAAGGTGCCGTTGACATCTGGGAGGGGATTGGATGAAATGGCAGTGATGCCTGGAGTCTGAATATTTTCATATTCTGGAACTAGAAATATAACATCAGCAAATTTAAGAGAGTTGGTTCCTTTTCTGTTTTTATGTCATTCCAATCTAGATAAAAGAAGTTTCAAGCGATGGCAGAATTAGAGCATTTTTTATGTATGGTTCGATATGGAACCATAATTGCTGTATTGTGACCTATTCTTCCATCACGTTTTTTACTACATGGGCCTGTTACGTGGTTTTATCCATCAACACAATTTGTTCTTTAGTAGAAGGAGCTGGCTGGCGTTCCTGTCTCTCACTGTGTTTGTCAGGTGCCTCATGAGGCCTTGTTTCCCTGGTAGGTGAAGAAGATCGTTGAGGAACCTGTTCTCAAATCCTTGGATGCAGTTACAGCCAGTGTCATAGAGGTACGTCCCTTCTGAGGGCATCACGCTGAGATCCTCCTGCCGTGAACCTGTGCTTGGAGAGAGCGGGGAGGGTTTGTGTGGGGCTGGAGTGGAGGAGTTTGGCAGTGAATTTTGAGTGTAACTTCCCTTGTCCCAATAATGATAACACACCTGTCACCTGAAAGCTTGCTCTGTGCCAGGCTCTTTTAAATATATTACCTCCCAGTGCTTCTGAGTAGAGGTCAGTGTCTCCATTTCACAGGGGAAATAGAGAGGTTCAGGGAGACTAACTAACTTGCCTTTGTCACATAGTCACCATGGGAGCTGGGAATTTGCCGGGTTCCCTGACTGTGAAGCCCATGCTCTTTTACCTTCCTTGCTTCTTTGGTGCTTCCAAAGCCCCTTCTCAGTACACACTCCCTCAGACTTTCTAGGCATGTACAGGCTCTGGCTTGTTTTTGTTTCTTTTAAGATTTTTTGGGGGATTTGGGGAAGGGGAACAGTGTTGGGTAATTGGGGAAGGGGAGCAGACAAGTTGTTGTCCTTCAATCTTAGTTGTGGAGGGCACAGCTAGCTCAGCCTCAAGTCCAGTTCAGTCGCCATCCCACTGCCCATCGGCAGCCCGCAGCCGCTCAGCTCAAGATGCTGTATTCAATCTTAGTTGCGGGGGGTGGCGGGGAGGCCATAGCCCACCATCCCATGCGGGAGTCAAACCAGCAACCTTGTTGTTAGGAGCACGTGCTCTCACCAGCTGAGCCACTCTGCCACCTGTTGACAGCTCAGTGGCAGCTCAGCTCGGGTGCAGCTCACTGGCCTATGTGGGAATCGAACCATGTTGCTCACAGTTGCACTCTTAACCAAGTGAGCCACTTGGCCGGCCTCAGGCTCTGGCTTTTAATTGTATTTGGAACCAAGGCCTATAGCATTATTTATAAAATCATTAAATGTTGACATTGGGAGGTCTCAAAACCTCAGAGAACATTCAGGTCAGTCCTCTTTGAGTGTTGGGACCCACAGCAGTTGCCATTTGCCGGGCCGATGATTGTCATGTGCGTGTGCTGGACCCAGATTCTTTGTGAAGCCTGATGTTCTGTTCTTTCTCTCACCTGATTCTGAGGCACGCAGTGCCTGGTACCACTGGGACTCAGCTCTGAATCAGGAGGGAACCCCAGGGACTTTGCTGTGCCACAGACCGTGTCTTCTCCTGCCCTACACGGCCTCTCAGCAACTGTCTGCAAACGACAGATGTATGTACCGGGCCTGGTTTGCTCTGGGTCAGTTCTTGGCTGAGGAGCACAGTTCCTGTAACTCACCAGGTTACAGTCTGGCACTTACTACCTTGTCTTCAACCTTTTTCCAGGTGGTGCCCTGCCCATTGGCCTGAGCTTTTGCTCCATCACTGCTTGCAGTCTCAGAGGCCTTTTGGTTTCCTTGTCAGTGTTTGGTCATGTGTGACTCAGAGCAGTCCAGGGGGACCGGGGTTGGCACCTGGGCTGGACAGTCAGAACAGCTGGCCACTTCTTAGGCCTGTACACCATCTGTAAGGAAAAGTGTCAATCTGGGTCCTGAGGGCAAAGTTGGGACTCAGTGGGGATTCCCTTTAGGGCTTGTCTTATGGGTAGAGGGTAGACTGGGAATGTGGGACTTTGAGACCCTCTTCCCTATTGAACCAGAGCAGTTTCTGGTATTCTTGTTTTGTAATTCGGACTTTAGTAGAAATGCCCATGTCAAGAAATGGTTTTGTGGCTTTAAAAAAGGTTGGATATAATATACTCATTATCAATACTTACTAGCAATTACGACGTGCATGTTATGTGCCAGACACTCTGATAGGACTTGACTCACTTGCTCATTGTATTCAATAGTAATCCCCCATTTACAGATGGGGAAACTGAGGCTCACAGGTATAAGGAACTTCAGTTACATAGCTAGTGAGTGATGGAGTTGGGCTGTATTATCTGGCTCCCTTTCTCCACTCCCTGATGGTAGTGACTGCCTCCTGGTCCTTGATCAGACCCCTGGATCACCTTAACCTCAGCAAGTCTCATCTCTGCCCCACAGGGATGTTGTGAGGACCGTGTGAGGTGATGTCTGTGAAGCAGTTAGCCAGTGCCCATCCGTGGCACTTTGTTACCCATAGCTCCTATTATCAGTGCCCTCTTGAAGTCCTGGTCACTCATGTCCTTCATGCAGTTATGCCCTCCACCTGACTCGCCCTCCTCCAGCCTCACACCACAGGCCCCTTCCTACACCACCCAACCTCTGGCCCCACTGCAGACTTGCTTCCTCTCCCTCCTCATCCCCTTCCCCTGTGTTTGCAGAGCACTTTTGTGTGTGTCAAGAATTCTTAGTAAGCTGTGCCTTTCCATTCTACTGAACTGGGAATCTAGACGTTAAGAACAGCATCTTATTCATCTTATGAAACCTTGTGTGAATTTTTTCTTCAGATGAAAAATAATGCTATGTTTGAGATTAGATTGCTAAAAAGAATAATTTAAAATGAGCTTTAATTACAAAACATAAGCTGAATCTGAAGGTGCCCTGACTGTGGTGTCCGTCGCCTGAGGGGTGGACAGGATGGAATCCCGTGGTCTGGTGGTCTCTTCATTGTCTCTCTCCTCCGCTTCCCATGTCCTCCTGAGTTCAAAGTGTGTGCTTTCAGCGAGAGGTCGGTGGTCTTTTCTTCAAGGGTACAGATGGCTGCTCCCCCGCAGACATCTCAGGAGGTATGAACCTCCTGTTTTCCTCTGCCTGACGCTTAAGAGGGTGAAGAGTACAATTAAAGTTTTCCAAGTGGTGAAGCATGGTAAATGGTTGTTCCATTTATAATGCAAGACATGAATGTAAGAATTACTTAACTGGGCCTCACACAAAGGTGAAGGGAGGCCCAGAGGAGTGTTTCTGTGCTGCAATCACGTGCCTCTGCCTCCCCTACAGGCCAACCCCAGCGCTGATCTCTACTACACCACGTTCAGCGACCCCCTCTATGTGGCCATGTTTAAGATGCTGCGCGACACTCTGTACTACATGAAAGGTGAGGACTTTGCACACGTGTGTAAATGCGGTGAGACTGGGTTCCAGGCCACTGCTACAGGCTTGTGCTTCCTTTTTGCTGGGGACACCCAAAAATACACACAAGTAACATGGTCGCGTTACTGAAATTGTGGGAAAAAAAACAAACAAAATCTGTCCATGATCCTGTTCCCCTAGTGCCGTCAATGATGGCTTTTTTTTTTTTTTTTTTTAAGATTTTATTGGGGAATTGGGGAAGGGGAACAGCGTTGGGGAATTGAGGAAGAACAGACAAGTTGCTAGCCTTTGTTCTTCAGTCTAGTTGTGGAGGACGTTGCTTCACTGGCCCATGTTGGTATTGTGATCATTGCACTCTTCCCAAGTGAGGCAGTCACTCGCCGGCCTCTGGACGGCCGCTGACTGTGGCTCTTGGCAGCTCACGCTGGCCGCCGGCCACTCACAGTAGCTTATGGCAGCCCACTGCAGCAGGGACTGCAGCTTATGCTGTCGACTCATGGCAGCCCAGCTCTAGGTCGAGCTGTTGTTCACCATCTTAGCTGTAGAGGGCGCAGCGTCACTGACCCTCATGTAGGATCCAAACTGGGGCCCTGCTGCTCAGAGCTGGTGTCCCAAGTCAACTCTTAGGCAGCACGCCACTCGGCCGGCCCAATGATGGCTTTTATGATGGGTTCATTTCCTCAGGTATTTTTCTGACCTGGATGTGTTGTATTGTCCTGATCATGGATACAATTTAACATGCCTACTTTAGACATTTTTTAAAGTTCAGATAAAAGAAAATGAGGTACTCATAACCTTGTAACTCAGAGGTAATACTGGGTTGTTGGAAAAGTCATGACGTATTATTCTATGTTTTTGTTGCAAAAATGCGTCATGACTTTTCCGACAACCCAATATATTAATAGTGCAGCACACACACACATTTTGCATTTCCTTCCAGTCTCTTATTTGTGCATTTTAAAAATACTTTTCCTGGGGCCGGCCAAGTGGCTCAGTTGGTTAAGAGCTCGCTCAAGAGTTTGAGCTCTGAGCAACAGCGGTTTGATGCCCGGCCCAAGCTGAGCTGCTGCTAAGCTGCCAATAGGTAGCAGGATGGCTCAGCTAAAAAAAAAAAAAAAACTTTTCCTAAGCTCTTCCCTTATGTTATTGAATACTCTTCATAAACATCAGTTTTGATGACCATATAAGATTCTATTGTGTAGGTATGCCATAATCTAGTTAATCCATTTTCCTAATATGATTTCAGGGGCTCTTGGGAGGCGGAAGCTGAGTCTGCTCAGAGTCACAGCAAAGCTAGGTTCATGAAGGAAGGTAGCAGGGACTACACGCCTCGGCTTGACTCGCAGGAGCCCCTCCTGCCTCCCTTCCCACCTGAGCTGTGTATTGCCAGCTTCCTCGACTAGTCTGACTTATTCCCATCACAGTGGTTTTTCTGAGTTTTCCAGGCTCCAAGGATGAGTGTTTGAAAAGGCTGCAAACTCTGAGCACTCTGAAGATCCAGGCCTGTATCCAGGGAATTCTCTTCTTCAGGCTACAGCCAGTTTTTCCCCTTATCCGATAACTGACGGCCTTTAAAAAGAAATCACTGTGCACCTGTATAATCATTATACTGTACACCTTAAACTTATACAGTGATGTATGTCAGGTATATCAATAGAACTGGGAAAAAATAGTAAAAATATATATATACATACATATATATTAATGAAGTATTTCCTGTTGTTAATTGGACCAGTTCCAGGGATGATATATCCCAATTTATGTGTTTCATATATTCAGGTTTTTGTATATTGACCTCTTACAGCTCTCACTTCCCTGGGAAATGTTCATTTGCTCTGAGTGCCGGGTGGCACATGTGTAGAGGGCAGCTATGCTCAGCCTGTCCAAGCTCTTCTCAGCAGGCATTCTTAGAACCACAGCAGCCAGCAGCAAACGTGCTCTTCTTGGGTTTTTCTTAGAGAAGGACTACAGATGTTCACAGCTGGCTGCCTGAGTTTTGGCACAGTTTTGTTTCCAGCTGCAGTGCCTGCTCTCTTTCTTGCAGATCTCCCGACCGCCTTTGTAAAGGAGATTCATGATTTTGTGCTGGAGCAGTTCAACACAAGTCAGGGGGAGCTTCAGAAGATTCTGCACGATGCGGACCGGATCCACAGTGAGCTGAGCCCCCTCAAGCTGCGCTGCCAGGCAAACGCCTCCTGTGTGGACCTCATGGTGTGGGCCGTGAAGGACGAGCAGGGTGAGCACCAGCTAGTCTAGTGTCTGCACCTGGGAAGACAGATGGCCAAAGCCCCAGGGCCTGTGTCCTCTCTCCACTACTTCCTCCTGGTTCTTTGGGCTTTTATATGGAGAAGAGGGAGCTTGTCTAGGGTGAGCAGCAGAGTGGGAAGCATGCATGCAGCAGTGTCCTTGCTCACAGAACAATGTGGGGACGGGGACAGGGGGCTCAGGGCCAGCCTAGAAGAGAAAGCAGTCATGGGGTGTAGGACAGTGTTTTCACAATAGGAGCATAGATGAGCTTTCAGTTAAGGACTCCTGCCTCTGAACACTTTCTGGTGTAACCTCTCAATATTAAAAAACCCTGCAAAAAAGTGTGTCTGGGCTTTAGTTAAATTGTGTGACTAATTGGTGAAGGACTATTTTGTAAGTTTTGCCTTTGCTAACTGCTGGTACCCTCCTCTGATTTTGAATTTAGGTGCAGAAAATCTTTGCATTAAGCTGTCTGAGAAGCTGCAGTCCAAGACGTCCAGCAAAGTCATCATCGCTCATTTGCCCTTGCTCATCTGCTGTCTGCAGGTCAGTCTCATGGACACTGGAGAGGCTGAGATCCCATCAACAGGGCCTTCCTGTCGTGCCATTCAGGCTGTGGTTGGCACACCAGCAGCAAAGTCAGAGCTGTTATCTTTAGGAACTTGAACTAGAGCCTGCTTTGGTCATAGTTCACCATTGAGTGGGGGTGGGGAGGGCCTCTGCCAACAGGGTGCCAGGATTTCTGTGAATGGGGTCCAGGTGCAGCTTGTCCTCCTTTGTGGGGAGACTGCCCTGTACTTGCCAGCCAGGCCATTCCCAAAGCCACAGGAGTTGGGAGCCAGAGGGCCATGTGAGAGGGTGTCACCTGACATCTGTCGTACCAGCTCTGCCGAGACACTTACCTTGTTGCAAACCTTAGTAATGCCCCATCTGCCATTGTTTAGAAATCATGTTTTTGTACCCTGTCTCCCCTATTTTGCTTCAAAAAGAAATGGACACACCTTAGCAATATAATCCCCCTTAGGTGGAGGAGAGTCTAGACCATCCCCCTTTCCTGTCTGTGCCCAGCGGGAAGGTGAACCCTGGGAGCTTGACCTTGGAAGTTTCTGGTCAAACTTGGGTATCTGAAGGGTTGAGCATCTCACTGCTCAGCTGGCCTTTCCCTGGGCTGTGTGACAGTTCAATGGTGTGTTTCAGGGTCTGGGCCGCCTTTGTGAGAGGTTCCCAGTGGTGGTGCACTCGGTGATGCCGTCTCTGCGGGACTTCCTGGTCGTCCCATCCCCCGTGCTGGTGAAGCTCTATAAGTGCCACAGTCAGTACCACACAGGTAATAGGATTACTGTACCCAAGATCGTGTCTCCAGCCCCTAACCCCCAGCCCCTGTGTGCTCTTGAGACTTCAAGAAAAGGACCACATGTCTGAGTGTGTGAGCGCAACACAGATCTGTGACTGAGGAATTGTGGCTGGGCTGTGCGCTTGGCCCTGTACTTGGGCTCATCCCTCTTCTTCACCTTTTCTCATGGTTTTCCCCATGTGATCCCCTCAGAGCTCCAGTCCTTTCCTTCCTCCTTCCCCTGTTATGTATACCCACCACCACTGAAGGCCCCTCTCTCGTCCCACTTTCTTTTGGGCCCCTTCTCTCACTGAGGTTGTCTGAAGTGTGAGTCCTGCATGTCCCAGACCCTGGGCCAACAACGCGCTGCGCACGATCTTATCTTGTCCCCTTGCCCCAAGGGAACGTATTATGTTTCTACAGACGAGGACCTGAGCCCAGAGCAAATCTGGTCACCTGTAATGAATGACATTATTAAATAGCCACGGCGAACCCAAGCTCTCTTATATTATAGCTCATCCTCCCCATAGTCCTGTGAAGGTGGATGTTTTATCCTCTCCCTTTAGATGAAGAAACCCAAACTCCCCAAGTACCCGAAAGACTTTGCCAGCCCAGAGTGAGGAGGGGTCCCTCTGGTTTTAAAGCCCCTGGACTCACACTCTCCCTAGCCCTTACTGGCTTATGCACGTTATCTACATAACCCTTCGGGTGGGTGCCTGTGGGTTCTCATCAGGCCTTTTGAACCATTTCTTAAGAAATGGCTGTTCTACGTATTTATCACTTTATATCCTAAGTGTTCTCCCTTTTGATTTAAATATGGTTGTTTCATCCTTCCTGTCCTCAGACACTTTTGTTTCTGAAATTTTTGTTGAAGTCTTTTTAGAGTGATTCCTTGTATAAACTAAAACGATTGACCTATTATTTTGGCTTTGAATTACAGATAAGAGGGTGGAAAGTGACAGGCTTAACCAGGTACTTATTTGATTTTACATTCAGTTGCTGGCAATGATATAAAAATCAGTGTAACCAACGAGCATTCGGAGTCAACGCTGAGTGTCATGTCGGGAAAGAAGAGCCAGCCGTCCATGTACGAGCAGCTCCGCGACATTGCCATCGATAACATCTGCAGGTGGGAGGCCAGGCCAGGGGGCGGGGCGGGCAGCCCAGCAAGGAAGGAAGACAGGATCTCTTACAAAATAAGAAATGTTTATCATTGTTTAAAGCATGTTTTTGATTATTCTAAACCTATACTTGATCTAAAAACAGGAATTGTTGTATTTTAAAAAAAATAAAGCATCCTGCCTTTCTCCGATCATACACATAATAAAAAAATAGAGAAATTTTGTAATGTATAGAAAAGTAGAAAGAAAAAAAATTATCCATTAGTTTACCATCCAGAGTAACAACATTTGTCATGTTTTCTTTATCTTTTTTTTTCCTGTGTATTTTTAATATAAATGAAAGGTTTTATACGATTAAGTGTTCCTTGCCACGCAGGCCCCTGCTATGTGGACTCCAAAACTTAGGAAACAAATCCATTCTGATTTACGTAGACTGTATCTCTCACTCTCTTAATTCTGACTGCTTGCTCTCAGAAACCAATTTGAGACAGTAGCTCAACACCCCCCCCCCCCCAGACTCTCATTCTTCTCTGCCTTGGATGCCTGGGAGCCAAGCGGATGCAAGAGTGAGAGACGCCTGATAAGATTTTATGTTCCTAGAGAGTTTAAAATTTCCTCCATGCTCACAAGCATTTCTCCATACTCTTAAAACCTTGCTATAGAATTTTAATATTCCCTCAGCCATCTCAGGACCATCTGTCTTTTGAATCAGTGACTGTTACTTTTGTTAAGGAAAAGTGCAGGAAATGACATATTGAAGGAAACTGTTCTGGGCAAAATAATGAAGTTGTTTCTGACTGAGATATTTACCAAGTGGACAAAGCCTGCAGCAGTTCTTTGCATTTGTTCTATGTATGACTTTCTTTCAGTTTCTGGGGGGAAAATGTTCAGAACAGTTCTTTAAACTTTGTAGATCTGAGAAAGGAAAAATTAAAACAACACAAAACACCTTTCGTTGTGATGCCTAATGCCCTGTGGGTTTCCTCAATGCTCAGGTGCCTGAAAGCTGGCCTGACGGTAGATGCGGTGATCGTAGAGGCCTTCCTGGCCAGCCTCTCTAACCGGCTCTACATCTCCCAGGAGAGTGACAAGTACGTCCCTTCCCAGAGGGTAGTCAGTTATGCTCTCTGTGGGCTGGTGGGGGCAGCTAGCATTGTGCACGTCTGTGCTGCTTTCTTGTACAGCATGGAGTTGTGCATTGGGTTTGTCCCACAATTTTAGGGGAAGCCCACCTTGCAATGTCTTTTGTGGACCACTATTTGGGAGGAGAGAAAGACCTCTGTCTTTCTGTCTGGTGCCTGGGACTTTGTGTTCTGCTGGTGGTTAAGGATCCCAGGTTGTCCCTTTTAGATGAATGCTTTATCTGAGAGAGTGATGACGTTGAGGTCCAGGTCCAGCTTCTGGGTTTATTTCACAGCTGCGAGCCAGAGGACTGTTCCCAGAGCACTTCTGTTCTTTCCTCCTGTAGGGATGCTCACTTGATTCCCGACCACACCATCCGAGCCTTGGGACACATCGCAGTGGCCCTGAGGGACACCCCAAAGGTTATGGAGCCAATTCTGCAGATCCTGCAGCAGAAATTCTGCCAGCCACCCTCCCCCCTCGACGTGCTCATCATCGACCAGCTGGGCTGCCTGGTTATCACTGGAAATGTAAGGAAATTCCCCAGCCTTGAAACCCACTAACCCTGTGCAAGCTTTGTTAAACTCCTTTGACTATCAGGAATATAAAAATACAGATTAAATTTACCCTGCAGGTCAGCAAATGCTCACAACTGCAGATCAGCTAAATGTTAAGCATTGAATAGTGAGTTGTTTTTTTTTTTTTTTTAAGAGAATAGTGTAATGGTTCTATGAGTGCTGGGGAAAAAGGAGGTTTAAACTAATTTCTTGCTGATGTTAATAACATAATAGGATTTAAATGGAAGCGATTTCCCTTTTAGCTTTTAACCTGAGGTTTGCTTACAGTTTTAGGAATGGATGCCCTTGATGGGCTTTTAGGCCCTTATGGTTTATGGTTCCAGGAGACTCCCTCTGAATGACAATAGAGGGGCCTTTTCTGTGTTCCAAGGAAGGGCTTTTGTGGAGGAATCATGGCTTGGTAACGGTGTCCCTTGCTGCCTTCTAGCAATACATTTATCAGGAAGTGTGGAACCTCTTCCAGCAGATCAGTGTCAAGGCCAGCTCTGTCGTGTACTCTGCCACTAAAGATTACAAGGACCATGGCTACAGGTAATTCTCTGGACCTCCTTGTTGCTTTAGATCATACGGTATTTAATTCCCTTTAAAAATGTGAGCTCTGGGGATTTGTCTTTTAAACCAACTTTTTTTTACAAAAGAAAATACGCTGCAGATCAGTGCACACACAAGGTGAAAAGTAAAAACCCCGTATGCTTACTCCTTGGAGCTGATGGAGTCCAGACGGGCTCAACTTGCCCGCCCGGATGATCTGCTTTTTTACATAGCAATACATCAGCCATGCCATAAACATTCTCTGCATGTCGCTTTTAATGGCTGCATAGTGTCCCATGATATAGCAGCACTGTGATTTCTCTAACCAGCCCCTAGCTTGGATGTAAGGTAGTTTTTCAGTTTTTCTGCTGCATTGAACACCTTAGTAGCTACATCTGTGATGCTTTCCTCAGGATAGATTCAGAGAGGTGGGATTTGGAGGGTGAAAGAAAAGGAGCATTTTATATCCTTGAATGTTTGAAATTTGTGTGAAGTCTGTCCAGTTTTCCTTGGCAGACTGAGATATGCTTTCTTGTCTGTCCCTTGCCTTTACTAGGAATGTCTTGAAAACAGGGACATTCTTTTCCACATATGGAGGATCGCATAACAGTTTGTCAGATCAAGGGAAGAGAGGAAAAGAGGGAAGTCAAGTCAGGAAGACAGAAAGTTGGGGCAGGGAGAGAGAGGTTGCCCCTTTGTTGGTATTCTTTTTTCTTCCATCCAGCTCAGTGGATGGGAGTGTGGCTATGTGACCCGAGAAAACGCTCACCTTCTCTGTGCCTTAGTTTCCTCATTCCTCAAATGAACATGTTTCCAGTTGTGTGGGAGTTGAGATCATATATGTGAAAACTCTTGATAAATGCCAGCTCTCCGCACTCTTATTATTTCTCTCCCTTCTCACTTCCACCCTCATGAGCCTAAGCTGGAGGAGTGGGTTGGGGAGGTGGCCAGCTCCCCAACCCTTCCTTCTGTCCATCTGTCCTGATCTCTGCAATAAAACTGACTCACAGACTAAAAACACTTTTTACCCACGTTGCTTCCTTGCTCTGAAAGTGACTCCTGCTGCTTCTTGTCCCTTGCACCTTCCCCACTCTGTCTTTGCTCTGTTTTTCCGACGCTCGCATCTGTCTTGCTGCTCTTGGCCCTGCTGTGTGCAGGAATTAATTTTTCCTGTGCCTACCAGTTTTTTAGCTTCTGACTCAAGTTTTCTCTTTCTCCATAAACTCTTTTCTTATATTGCCACCAAAAGTGATTTGTTCTCTTCCTCACCAGTGGAAGCGTTTACTGCCATTCATTTGCCCTCACCTACCAGGAATTTACCTATCTGTGAAATGGGTGTCTTTATCATGGCTGCCGTTTGCTCCGAGATTTTGGGGGGCCAGATGGCATGCTCAGGGCTTCACATAGAGTGCTTAATTCCTCCTGCGCCCTGTGAGGAGGGAATTATCCTTGTTTTACTCAGGAATAAACTGAGACTCAAAGATGTCAGCTATCACCTGGGTCACAGAGCATGGAAGTGGCAGGGTCTGGCTGCCCCCAGTGCCCACAAAAGCCTGGCCGGCCTGGCTGGTTCACAGAATCTAGCTGAGGGGGCATGTCAGCTTCATTTCTGGGGTTAATGTGGGGCTAGCAACATCCCAAGGCAGGTTGCTGCACACTTCCTAAGTGTGTGATGTGAGCTAATACTAACATCAGATGCAGGATGGAGGCAGTGTTGGGAAGAAGCTGGTCGTCAGACAAGTTTTATGGGTGGTAGTGATGAGTCAAGGCTATCTATCATTTGAGGGGGAAAACAGAGTCCAGCCAGGAAATGCATGGGAGTACGTCCATTTTTGACTATGTAGCAAGTCCTTGACACTCAGATTGAATTGTCCTGAGACTTTCGCAGGTCCCCATCATGCAGATTCCCAGATCCTGAACAGTCCGAGGCCCTTAGTGCACGTCAGGGGAGCGATCACAGTCATTTCTGCAGCAGCTGACTTTCCTCTAGGGGCCGTTGTTCATCTCCTCTGGAGGGCTCCTTTGTTCACAGGCACTGAGAGGGGACAGTGAGGCTGCATGGAGTCAGCCTGCCTCCCTCCTGTAGTGGGGGGCCCCTGCCTTGTGGCAGCTGTCATTTCTCCCTCCCCTCCAGGCACTGCTCCCTGGCGGTGATCAATGCCCTGGCCAACATCGCAGCCAACATCCAGGACGAGCACCTCGTGGACGAGCTGCTCATGAACCTGCTGGAGCTGTTTGTGCAGCTGGGGCTGGAGGGAAAGCGCGCCAGTGAGAGGGCCAGCGAGAAGGGGCCTGCCCTGAAGGTAGGGAGGAGAGTGGCCCAGCGTGTTGCCCTGCTGGTCAGGGCCGAGTCTCCAGATGCCATCTTGGTTGAAATGCAGTGCTTTCTTTGCTAAATGATTTAAATGCACCTGGTAAGGTGTAAAAACAAAGGGAGCGAGGTTTCTTCTCGGGTGCTGGCAGGGGTCGGGGAGAGGGCGGCTTCCTCCTCAGTCCATATCCAGCTCTTGGCAGCCATCTCTCCCAGTCCGGGGTGATAAGGTGACAGCAGACTCCTGTGGGCTCCCCCAGCCTCATCTCTCCCTTCTTATCCATCATAAAGCCAGGGGGTGGAGGTTGTCATCAGAACACAGTGATAATATAAGAAGGGCCAGATTTGGCCTAATCTCAGGCTATCCAAGGGAGATAGGTACGTGGGAACAGACAAACTGTCAGGTCTCGAACCCTCAAAGAGACATCTTGGGGAGGTTGAGGCAGATTAAGCCTTTTGCCCCATCATCACTCCTTAGACATGTTATGTGGGTGCCAGTCCCTCTACCAAGTCTCCACTTTTGTCCTCCTTGTCTTTCCTCCCCCCTCCCCCCTCCCTTGCCCTCCCCTCCCCTCCTCTCCTTCCCCTTCTCCAGACAGTTACTGATCATCTACTTTGTGCCTAGGACAGAGATCAGCCCACTTTTTCTATAAAGGTCCAGATTTTACATGTTTTAGGTTTTGTGGGCCACATAGCATTTATTGAAACAACTCAGCTCTGCCTTGCTAGCATAAAAGCAGCCACAGACATTAAGTAAATGAACAGAGGTGGCTGTGCTCCCGTAAAACTTGATTTCCAAAATAGAAGGTGGGTCATTTTGGTGCTAGACTGTGGTTTTCTTCTAGGTGCTGGGGTTACGGAAGTAATTAGACAGACAAGGTGGGCTTAGTGGGAGGAGATTGTGAAAACAGAACGGGGCAGTGTGGTGAGGGTTGTGAAGGCCTCTCTGAGGAGGTGACAGCCAAGTTGGAAACTGAATGAGAAGGAGCCTTCTGTGTGAAAACCTTGACTAAGAGAGAGTTGCTGGTGCAAAAGAGGATCCTAAGATCCTTCGCTCTCATTCAGCTTTGCTTTGCTGGGCCCCCGCCAGTGATCTGGGCGACTAATTTCTCAAGTCTCTCAGGATGGTGCACAGCTAGGTCCATCCTGATGCACAAAAAACAAGGACATCTGTCGTGTCCATTGGAGACTTTGGCATCGGGATGAAAGGGCTGCTCTGATGGGGCAGGGAAGCACTCAGCACCTGAGAAAGCAGAGGCTGTAACCTACCTACCTAAGGAGCCATTCTCTTTCTCTCCCCTGTGAATTGTACCTCACTGTGGGGAGGGATGTCCCCTGAGACCCATGGGCTGCTCCCCGCTGCCTGCTTTCAGTGAACATTTACAATGTCAAGACTCAGGATTTAATGCTTCATTCATGGGCTGGGGGTGGGGGTGGTGACCCAGCCAATGTGGAATCCCTGTGTGTCAAGCTGTGAATTCTGTTCTTTGCAGGTAGTTTCTGTTTACCAGTCATGCAGTGAATAGGCAAGTGTTTATTGATCCACTGCTGCACTTTCCCCATGAGATGGGGCCTCACAGAATAAGAGGGCTTAGAGGAGCAGTGAGAAGGGACTAGCTGACATACCACCCTGTTGAAGACAAGGGAGGAACTGTGATTATAGATTAAGAAACGTCTATTTTCCCTAGCCATCCAGCAGCCGTGACGCTTTTAGTTTCCAGAGTGGAGCAGGCAGGGCTTGACATTCTGTCCCCGCCACCGAGTGGCCATGGGGCCTTGGCAAGCTACTCAAACCCTGTTTTCTCCACTGAAGATAAAGTTGATGCGTGTGAAGCACTTGAAACAGTGCCTGGCATGCAGTGGGTGCTCAGCGCCCTTAACTGCTACTGTTTTTGTAAATATAGAAAATAAACTGAATGTGCTTAGGCATTTGCTTCCAGAACATAGTCTAATCAGTGTGTACCATAGTTTAGCCACATTTGTGTGTCTAGCCTGGGAACCTACCTTTTATTTAGTTATTTCTAAGTAACCCCCCAATTTTCCCTAACTTGGAAAAAATACATGTTTATTGTAGAAAAGATACAGAAACCTATAAATAATAAAGTAAAAAGTATCCGTAATTCCTCTACTCCGATATAATCATTGTTAACATTTTGACAGACTTCCTTCTATATTTGTTATACAAATATATTTATTTTACGTCATTAGTTTATTTTACATAATTGGTATACTACAATAATTCATTATATACTCTTAAATCCTGATTTTTTTTCCATTTAACATTTTTTGGGATACTTTCCAAGGCGACTAAATATTTTTCAGAGAATTGTCTTTTTCACAGCTGTCTGATATTTAATTATGCAGAGGTGCCATGATTTATGTAATCATTCTGTTTGACATTTAAGTTATTTCCTTTTTTTGTTGTTGTTATTAAAATTATGCTGGTTGAGCATCTTTATACATCTCTGTCTGTATTGCTTATCACTTTTTTTAGATTAAGGAATTCCAGCTTTATACAATACTATGTCCTGCCTTTTTTTTTTTTTTTTAATAAATACATGCTCATCCGTGACTGAATTCTGTTATTTTCTAGGCTTCTAGCAGTGCAGGAAACTTGGGCGTACTCATTCCTGTAATAGCTGTGGTGAGTATTCATTGAGTGGTTGCAAACTCCAGATGTTGTGCTCATGTTTTGAGTGTTGCACCGTGATGCACAGCAAATTCCTTAGAAAAATGCTGTTTGGAGGTGGTAGTGGTTCTGTAGATGTGGCTGTGTTTCCATCACCACCGGGCTCCTCCGTGACTGTCCCATAGGTATGTGCCAGCTGTGGCCACACCACCTCACTCCCTTGCTCCAAGCCCTGCTTGACCATCCTCTGCCGGCTGACCAGGGAACCCACTTCGATTCCCTCTTGCATGGCTCCAAGGTCCATGGTCCAACTCTGGGCTCATCTTCTGTCTCATGCCCTGCTTTGGAGCCCCTAATACAGGCATGCACCCACTTGCAACTCCTCTCTCTGTCGCCTTCTTGCAAGATGAGGCCTTGGATCTCTGGTTAATGCAGCGGCCCTCAGTGTCCCCTGGTAGGGCATTGTTGGCAGGGTGGGCCCACCACACTTTGGGGCACAGCCCCACCCACCGCTGTGGTGGGCAGCTCATGGTGCAGGCCCTGTCCCTTTCTTAATTACTCCCAGCTGCCAGTCCTAAGCCAAGTCTCACATTCCAGTATTTGTTTTCATTGGTGATTCTCTAGCTTCCACTTCACCCACCTTCTAATTAAGCCCTTGCTGCTTTTTTTTTTAAAGATTTTATTGGGGAATTGGGGGAGGGGAACAGCGTTGGGGAATCGGGGAAGGGGAACAGACAAGTTGCTATCCTTTTGTTATTTAGTCTAGTTGTGGAGGATGTCGCTTCACTGGCCCATGTTGGTATTATCATTGCGCTCTTCCCAGGTGAGGCAGTTGCTCGCTGGCCATTGGATGGCCGCTCACGAAAGCGCACGCCAGCTGCCGGCCAGCCCCACTGCAGCCTACACCATCGCCGGTGACTCACAGCAGCCCAGCTCCAGGTCGAGCTGTTGTTCACCATCTTAGCTGTAGAGGGCACAGTGTCACTGGCCCGCAATGTGGGATCCAAACCGGCGCCCTGCTGCTCAGAGCTGGTGTCCCAAGCCAACTCCTAATGAATGTGCCACTCGGCCGGCCCAAGCCCTTGCTTCTGCCTTCCAGTTTCTTCCCACCTCACCCCACCCCTAGCAGTTTGAGTCTTCAGCACTTACTTACATGTGTGCCCCTTCACATGAACACCAGAGGGGTTAGCCTCCGAGCTGCCGTGGTGACCCAGGGGCATAGAGGTCAGGCAGGCAGATGGAGAGACACCTCCTGATCTCCACAAGGCGGTTTCTATACTTCCTCCAGTCTGGGTGTTCATCATGCTGAAATTGGGGACTTTTAGCTGGTCAAGATGGATGAAAAATAGAACTGACTGGTTTATTTATTATTCTTCACTTTAAGATGTCACATAGTGCATTTTGTGGAGCCTGCCGCTTCCAGTTCACTTTCCTCCTGTCTGTCCTTTTCTCTCCTGTCCCTTCTCCCAGTAAGTGGCTGATTTAGGAGGGGCAACAGTCCTTTGTTCCCCTGCCACATCTGTGTCAGCACAGGCTCCTCTTCCTCAGTGTGCTTGAGGGGAAAAGGGGCTGGGCCTGAACCAAGATGACTTTTCACGTCCGCTTGGGAGCCTTGCCACCTTCATACCTGTGATCAGGTGTTCTCCCACAGCCCTTTGAGGGTTTGAGGATTGCTGGGACTCTCTTTGCCATGGTATTTTTTTATTGACACCCTCATTGGTTAATTGTTTAAAACCTGAGC